GTCTCAGTTTTTCAAGTCTCCTAAAATGTGATAACATATTCATATACAGTCACACAGACATCTCTATACACACACACATCAATATACATATATGCATAACTATTAAATGTTAAGTTTATACATTCTGATTGGCTATGGGTCTTCCCTGAATCATTTTACTACTCTAAACTCACAGCCTGACAAACAGTGCACCTGCTTAACTGGGCTAAGTGCCAGGAAAAAAAAAATCAGGGAAATTAATTTCCAAGAGCAGTAGATAAATGGCACACCTCATTAGAAAATCTATTTAAAAGGCACATCAGGAGATGTCTGCAAGACTTTCATAAGAAATTGATGCTTCCTACCATCATGTCCTTGCTGGCTTTCTTCTCAGATTACTGATCTTACTTCCTGGTAATAAGATTCAAATTCAAGTTACGCTTAATGAGTGCCTCGTATGTGCCAGGCACGTATGTTTTATATAGATTATCTTACCTAATTTTTATAAAAATTGTTTTGAAATAAAGTATGTGAAATGCATGCAAAAATTACCAACTGTGTTTCTTTGAGACCTCTTGGTACAGCCATTTAATGATTTTTCCTTCTTATGGATGAGGATGCTAATAAATTATAACCCTTGTTCTTAGGCAAGAAAAGCCGTGAGTTACTACAATTTATTCCTGTACCTTCTGACCTAGAGAAAAATCATTATTATCCATGAGGGCCTAAATTTGCAAAAATCTCTTTAGAAATTGTATTTTTGGCATTTATTGTTTAGAGAGAAAGTTGTCCCTTTATAAATAAGGCAAACAACTTTGTAAGGAATTTCAGCCAAAGCCCAGAAATTTTGATCCTGGAAGAGTTATTAAATCATCAGGGCACCCCTCTGTTTTCTGGAAGAGCTTCCTGGCTGTGTCTGCAGAAGCTTGGGGGCAAGGTATCCAGCAACATTTGTGACCCTCTAGGCTCAATTAATAAGAAAGCAACATTGCCCTGCACTAACCAACTCTTTCCAGACCCTCAACTTGGTTTTTCTGAAGACTTTCACCTTCCAGAAGAAAAGTAAAGGCAAGATGAATAATATCTGCGTGATCGGACATCTTGGTTTGTGTCTGTTGCCCTAAGATAAATATTAACAGCATTCCATTTCACTCTCACAGTGTCCTGTTTTGGATGATAAACAGTACAGTCATCCTATGTGGTGGCTTTGTATGCTCCTAAATCACTGAATTAGAATGATATTTCCCAGAATTCCCTTACAGGTAAGGTCCAGGTAACAGTTGGGCACAAGAGAAATCTGCATGAGCGTTAGAAGGCATGAAAGAAGTAATAACCATTGCTTATTCTCTGAAGGTTGCTGTAGGGCAGGTGCTGTTGCAGCTCAAGTACATTATCACCGATATGCTGGCTGATCTTGACATGTGGCAGCAGCCGGCAGCATACTTTCCAGTCCCCGCTGGACCGCCTCCTCCAGTATCTCCAAAGCCTGGCCAGGTGCTTGTGCAGTTCCGTAGTGGAAGGCACCAATTTATCTTGCAGTTCACCCACATCATCGTAATTTGAGGTGGTGAGAGTCAAATGAGGGTTCTAGTTTGTCCTTGTCAGTTCCAGTTTGTCCTCAGTCTTCCCTATTCTATTTCCATCTGCCCTTTCCAATGACAGTGTTCAGGATATAACACCCCAAATACGGCACCTTGGCATATTAAATATTTTCAGCTGAAATAATTTGAGAAAATGACATGTGCAAAAAGGACTTCATGATATTCCCTTGAAGCGGGCCATAAAACCCTCATGAGAAAGGTGTTTTCCCTAAAACCAGAGGAAGGGAATTATTTCCAAGATGCCCAGCACAATGTGAATGAACAGCCCTTGCTGTTTCCCTCAATTTACGACACTTAGCTCATACCCTTTTTTATCCTGTCACACTTTCCCACCACTTTCCACTTTTTATCAAGCCTAGCATAAAAATGCTCAGGCTTAACTACTTCTTAAGGTCTTCCTTTCTTTATGAAAGCTCTTGTGTCTCATAAAACTTACATTAAACAAGATATTTTTCCTTTGCTATACCAACTTCCACTCTACTGACTCATGACCTAGTGCCAGATACATGGCAATAGCCTTACCTAGACTGCTAATCAGCTCCCCGGAATGCATGAGCCATACACTAAATCTGTTCTATATCACTCATAGTGATTCTACTCTGATCAAAACTTGTGACAGATACAACATATTATTTTTGGATAGTATTTAGACTTTATATTTAGGAAGAAATGAAGGGTAGGTGAAATATCCTTTCTAGCATCTGGTTTGTTGATGTCCTAAAATTTGTCTCATTTGATAAGAAGCAAAGTCACAAATTTTACAGACCAGAAAGCAAAGTGATTATTTCCATTTGACAGACAAGGAAACATAAATTCCTAGTCATATTAGCTTATTGGTCATAGAGTTGTAGAGTGAGCTCAAGTCATCTGAAAGAAGCATGTAAAAGCTAGTTCCACATATCCCTCACCAGTATATTATTTGGGCAAATCAAATCAAATTCAGAAAATTAGGAATTGTGAAGATTGGCTTAGAGGAAAATCATTCTTCTCAATCTAGTATAGTATTTGCTTATGAAAATAGATTTTCATTTCTCTATGAACAATTTTTAATGCCTTAAAAGCATTTACTTACTTTTCTAAAATGCCAGAGAATAATTTAGAGCCCAGGGACAGCAATCCTGTCTGGCCTCAGTTATTTCTAGTATGCTTTCATTTACCACTCGCCTTGTTTTTTAAACATTAATTACACATATTTCAAAGACCTTATATAGTACAAAAGACTCCTCATCATAATAATATTAATCCTTAGTAAATGTTTGAAATGTATCAATTAAAAATAACATTACAACACAGGAGTGCCATTTACATTTGACAATGTTATTGAAGAAAATGATTTTTTTCTGTGAAGAATCTACATTAAAAAGGGAGATATCAGGTGAGGGAAAAAAGAAGAAATTGCATTCATCCCTTCAACAGGGATCAAGGTTGGAAATGTAATAACAGAGACAATGGTAACCAAGAGAAGGGAGGGAGTTCATGAGACATAGGAGAGTTAGTCGGCAACTGGCACAGTGATTGATTGGGTTCCAGCAGATTTAAAAGATGACTTGCAGGCTTCTTTATGTGGGGAATGGATAGATGGTTAGGTCACTAATAAATATAGGAAATGAGGAGAGGAAGTCTCACATAGAGGATGTGCCTAATAAACACTCTTTGAAAGAAGAAATGAAGTAGCAGTAATATAGAGGCTATTTTTCCCCCGTGAGATGAAATGCCAGTAATATAGGTATTCCCCATAACACCTAATTACAGTGGCCCAAAGAAACCCTGCCATACATTGTGTATCTTACATGTAAGTAATCTAATCTGAAAGTCTAATTATAGGTAGCTTCTCATTTTATTAAATAATTAATAACAAATTCCTTACAACAGTAATTTGTATAGCATGCTTATTAAGTCATTAACTTTACAAATATGAGATTTATATATAATTTCTTAAGATTTATCTATTGGAACTGTATTGTATGATCATATTTGGTTCTAAAATATAAATGAATTATATTCTAGAAAAGGAAAGAATAGATGAAATATCACAGTTGATAGAAGTTCAAGAGAAATAAAATTACCTAGAGTGATGTAACCAAGTTATTCACTTAAAATCCTAAGTCATAATTTTATATTAGAGGCATTTAAATTATATATTCTTTTAAGAGCCTATATTATACAATATATCATCTATTTATTAAAATCATTGCTTATTTAAAACACAGGTTCACAGTTCTGGATTAATAGTGTTTTTCTTTGACTGACATCATAGGACTTATCTCTCCCTCTTAGATAATGCTCACTTTAGGGAAGCTACCGATGGTACTGCAGGAAAAATCATCTCAATCACACAGCCATGTAAATAAACCCAAAGGATAGTTTTATGACTTAGCAATATTTATACTTATATTTCTTTTAACATAGCCACTGCTTGGCACGTATAGTAGGCTCTTGATAAATAATTGCTGAATGAGTAAAATGCCATAGTAAGAAGTAGGGGATCCCTGACTATAGAGAATGCAATTTATAGTATTTATGGTTTCTGGTTCCTACTGATTCCACTCCCACTGGAGAAAGAAAATGGGAAGTGGGAATGGGGGCGAATGGTGCAAATATTAAAGAGCACATTAAGAGCTTAATGAAATGTTTTTGCTTGCGGTAAAAAGTGAAATGCATAAATTCATTCACCTATTTATTTAAAACTTATTGTATACCTGATGGAGTCCCTCCCTGAAGGAACTCACAGTCAATAGAGCATGTCAGAAGTGGAAATAGACAAATACAATTTTTAAAGTGTTAAAATACCTTGAACAAAGAGATAAACAGCATTCTCCAAGATTGAATAGGCCATAATGAAAATCTGTCTTTCCTCACATGTATTATTCCTGTTTTATTCCAAATCCATAAGAACACATGGGCACTCAAGATGTAGTATCTCATTACAAGTAATTATGGGAAAATCCTTTTAACACTCCTTATTTTCAGGAACTCAAAATAGGATGTTTTGATGGGAGGAGCAAAGAGAATGTCTGGAAAGAAAGCTTGGAGCCAGATGGTAGAGGAACTTAAAAATGCTTTACACAATTTTCCACTCTTCCAAAAGTTTTTTCTTTGGATTGGCATTGTTTTAAATTGATAAAGTCCCATTTCCCAAATGAAATCTCCACCAAACTTTTTAATCAGCATCTTCATAGAACTGTAATGTTCAGCTTTTGGTCAGCATTACAAATATGGAAATCTATTTCATTTGAAATCCCTGAACAACAGACAAAGAAGAATCAAAGTAAATGGTGAAGAAGAAACAAGCAGTATTGACACTCAAACACATTCAAGGGGTGCTTTATTTCTCACACTAAGATGCAGTGAAGAGAAACAAAGACAGCTGGGGAGAGCATGGTTTCCTTTCATCTAAAACCCCCATTTCATGGCTCTTACCTGAAAAGTTTTTGTAATCCACTAGGTCAAACATAACAACAGCAACAGCTGACCATGTGATTATCAGAGCGATGACCAGAAGCCAAGCTGCTGGAGAGCTGAATGTTGTCACGATGTCTTCTGTGACTGTCCTCTTCAGCACTTTCCCAGGGGATTTGGGCACAGATCCATTTTTGCTGTCTATCACAGTGGTGGTAGTAGATGCATTTCCTAATCAAGCATTCAGAAAAGAGGATTACAATTTAGAACTTCATGTCAAAAGTTGATAACCAAAAAGCCCCAAAGCTATTATATATTTAAGTTGTCTGTCCCATTTTCTATATAGTAAAGTATGCCTCTTTAGTGGCAGGGACACATCTCCTGCCCACCTACCCCAGTAGTTACCCTCCACTCTGAAACCCACACACCCTCGTGATTAAAACTCTTCTGCTCCTAAGTGCTGTAAATAATACCTTGGAAGCTACAAACTTTGTCATCGCTTTCAATCATTTTTATTTCTCCCTTGCCACCTCCTACATCCACTACCATCAACAGCAATTGGTTTTTTGTTCAAGTTGTTTTTCTAATACCTTTTCCCCTGATTCAAGTTGATATGACAGTTCTGAATGTAAGCAAAATGTCTCCTCAGGGGTGGGGGGAAGGAAAATCAAGGATAAAGTAGCTGAAACGGATGAAATCCTTTTTAGACATCTTGGCTTAATTATATAACTGGCTGTTCTATTGAGGATATTTGCTTTTATTGTGAAGGGTCACAGAAGATCTAAGAGAAAATATTATTATATCCATTAACTTTTTAATTCCTATTTACAAAATCTACATGTTTATGGGAGAAAATGAATAAAATATTTAAAAACAGCAAAATAAATAGATAAATAGGTAATTATTTGTAAACTCACCACTCAGAAACCACTGTTAACATATCGTTTTATTTACATCTACTTTTCTGTACACACATATAAATACATAAATATGTTTTATTTGTTTTTAAAGAGTCATCATCACACTCTGTTTTTTACTAGGCAATATATAATAAGCATGTTCTCCTGCCATATGCATTCCATAAAATGTCACTTAGGTGGCTGCATGATGTGTCATTTTGTGGCTATGCATAATTTAGTCAGAAAGCTTTCTACCTGGGGACATGGCAGAAGTTTTCTTAAAACACATTTATAGTTTTTATGTTAGGAAAATTTCCTAAAGAGAATTTCTGGGGCAAATAACATTATCAGATTTATGTAGAGAATATACATATGTATTTGAAAATTTGTATATCTGTTTTGAAGTTTACGTATTAATTTTGAGAGGGACAGCATGAGTCAGGGAGGGGCAGAGAGAGAGGGAGAGAGAGAAAATCCCAAGCAGGCTCTGTATCTGCACTGTCAGCTCAGAGTCTGATGAGTGGCTCAAACCCACAAAGCCACGGGATCATGACCTGAACTGAAATCAAGAGTCAAACACTTAACCAACTGAGCCACCCAGGTGCACAGAAAATTAATATATTTTTGAAAATGTACATGACAGCAGTCTCTGTTTTCTTATCTTTGACAATACTGGATATTACCTGTGTTCAAACTATTTGCAATCATGTAGGAGGAAAGTTCTGCTTCGTTTGTAATTCTTTGATAACTAGCAGTGAGCTTTTCATACATTTATTTTCCCTTTATATTTTTTTATCTTGTGCAATTTTTTGTTTACTTTTCCATAGACCTCCATTGAGTACTTTAGAGAACCGTGTACACATTGCATGTACACAGTCATGTGTATGCATATATTTTTATGTAAGTATACATGTATATACAAATATCTATGTCATGCATGTAAATATATATTTATACACATCTATACATTTATACTCCTTTCAAGAGTGTATACATGTATGTATATATACAAACACACACACATATGATAGTGACACTTTATCTGATCTTAGGTTACAGTTTGTTACCCTCAACTGTTCACCTCTTTCTTTTTGTGGTATTTTCAAATGTTTATTTATTATTTTTAAGAGAGAGATAATGCAAGAGGAGAAGGGTTTAAGAGAGGGAGAGAGAGAATCCCAAGCAGGCTCCACGCTGTCAGAGCAGAGCCTGACTCAGGGTTGGATTTCAGGAACCCCAAGATCATGACCTGAAACAAAAAAATCAAAAATTGGATGCTTAACCCACTGAGCCATCAGGTACCCCTGTGGTATTTTTATATACCGAGAAAATCCTTAAACATTTTATAACTCTTTCATTTTACTCCTGCAAAGTTGCTGCCTTTCGTATGGCTAGAAAGCCCCCCTCAAAGGAGAGTGAGGATATCTGTTTACATAGACAACCCTGGTCTCATAGAAAGTTAACTCTAGGGGTAACTTGAAATCTGAAGTAACTATATCATGTTATATTTAATAACAATTCAAAACCAACCAGAAATGTCAAATGACACTCATATAGCATTTTCAATCCCAAATCACACAGATGTATAGTAAATAATTGAATACTAAAAAGAGAAAATATCTATAACAATACCAATATTTTCACCAAAATCAGAGCTCAACAATGCATTTTATATATCTTAAATATAGGCCACAATATCTATCATCATTTAACAATGAAATATAAAAAAGGAAATTTTATTAATCATCTCCTAATATATATAATTAACTATTATCAATTTTAGTTTTTACATCGAAATTGCATTCTCAAACTAAAAAAGCAAATTCCAAATTTTGATACTTCTTTCCCACTTTGCACAAAATAAATTTCAACTAACTGAAAAGGCTATTTGTAGTTACTTCTAGAATGTGCTAAATAATAGCTGAAAAGTTTTCAAATTTTAAAACTGAAGGGAATTCTTTGTACTCCTAAAAGGCCTCCAAGAGGAATTAAAGTGCTCCCTTTAATCTTCCAACCTCTTTCTTTACCTTGCACAACCTTCCTTTTAGTTAGGTCCAGCTTTTTCACGGAAACCATAAAGAAAAACAGCTCTGTCACAGGTTTTATAGACAATAAAGATTGGGGTTAACTCCCTGGCTAGGAACTTCCTGCACTTCACCTCTGAGTGAGAAATATCTATACCTGAGGAATGAGGTTGATAAGGCTCTATTTACAGGTTTATGATGGTAGAGAAATAACTCATGTCAATTGTTTGGCAAATTTCCTGCTACATCAAATTATTCAATAAATGGCAATACAGTAACTACTAAACTGTATCTTCATTATTATCAACCTCACCATCGCCATTACTTTTACTGCCACCTCCCCTGCTGGTACAACCATTACCATCAGGGTAAGCAAAGAACAGAAGGGCAAGAATAACCTTCGAAACTACAGTTGAGATTGAATGGCTGTTCAATAAATGCAGGCATTTGTTTTCTTTAATAAGTATATATGTTAGGCTAAGATATTATCAGTGAACCAAAACGGGATGTTATAATTTCTTCAGAGAGAGAGAGCACACATGAGGGAAGGGCAGAGAGAGAGGGAGAGAGAATACCAAGCAGGTTCTGCACTAACATTAGCACTTGATCCCATGAACTTTGACCTGAGTCAAAATCAAGAGTTGGATGCTTAATTTACTGAGCCACCTAGGTACCCCTTAAAGGTTTTATGTTTAAGTAACCTGTCCACCCAACATTAGGCTCGAACTCACAACTCTGAGAACAAGAGTTACATACTTTACTGAGCCAGCCAGTTGCCCCATGACGATTTCAATGACTTTCTTGAATCAACTAATTTACTTCTTGTGATAAAGAAGTGGGACACAAACAGTAATTCATTTATATTAATGGAGAGTGTTATGCCCCATTAAAAAACTATGAGAAAAGATCTATAACAAATAAAGTTATTTTGTTATAATCCAAATGTTTGCAGCCTAATGAAACTCTTTAAATCGGAAATACAAATTTTGAAGCTTCTAACAGCTGTGTACATGGGGTGCTTAGAGTCTGAATACAGTTCATATGACAATTTTTAGTTATTGTGGGAAGAAATGAAAATACTGCCTTAAAATTAAATACTCTACTTAATAATGTTATTTTAAATTTTTCTTTACCAAGAAATGGTACTATCTTCTCTTGATAAAAAATAAGTGCCATAAAGTCCTATCACTGACTAAGGAAAAGACAATCAAATAGATTCAAGTGTATATATTAGTAGGTATTAATAATAACCAAACATACTAATACAATCATTTTTAGGTGTCATTTGTAGATCCAACCTCATATTTTTAAGAGATTAAAAAGCTGTTGAGGAGGGGCGCCTGGGTGGCTTAGTCGGTTAAGCGTCCGACTTTCGCTTAGGTCATGATCTCGCGGTTCGTGGGCTCGAGCCCCGCGTCGGGCTCTGTGCTGACTGCCAGCTCGGAGCCTGGAGCCTGTTTCAGTCTGTGACTCCCTCTCTCTCTGACCCTCCCCAGCTCACGCTGTCTCTCTCTCCTAGAAATAAATAAAAAACATTAAAAAAAATTAAAAAAAAAAAGCTGTTGAGGAAATCAGTGGTGAATGATTTAAGATTTTTAAATGATGTTAGGTAGAAATTAACAACAGTGACAATAAATCTGCTTCCTTTCCTGAAAATCTATGTGAATACATATCCCAAGGTCATGAACTCAATTTCATTGAAATGATAGCAAGATGGAAACATATCTTTAAAAAACAAATTTCACAGACTGTACTTGAGATGGATCTCAAAGAAGGAAAAATTAGAACGAACTCATATAATATCCTTCCATTGATTTTTGTGCCAAATTCCCATCACTTCTAATGGCAGATCTGAAAATGGATGAATGATAGGAGTGCTTTGAAATGCAATTTAAGATCCAAGTGGGGCTACAAGTGAATCAAATCTTTGGAATAATGATTTGCAGGAGAGTAAGTGAATTACAAGTGTTTAGGAGAGACCACCTGAAAGTTGATATGGTGCTAATCTCTAGTTTTTTAAACCTCTGGAAGATGTCCTACTACCACTATACAGAGAAAACCGGAAGAATTGCTTTTGCACTTCAGATTCACTTCAGTGAACTGTGGATTAGAGAGTATTTCTGTAGGCAATCTCATACACACCTGCCTGGTATCTTGAAGCCAAAAGAACAAATTTACCAGGATTTGATACACACTAGTCAAATCATGATCATATTTTTAAAAGAGAAAAATTTTTAAAAGGACAAGAGTTTCTATACAATTTTTTTCTTTTTTTATCAGAAAAATGAGAAACTATAGAAATCCAGAAAGCAATGCAAGTTCAGTGTTCAAATGCGACTTTTAATATTTAAAAAACTGATATTAAAATGAATCTCAAATTTTATTTAACCTTATAATCCTGCTAAAACCATTATAATACAGTATTTTAAATGGATGAAAATGATAAAATTAACACTAAATGACTTTTTACATTTTTTTCTATTTGTTCTTGCTTCACATTCTCAAAATTTCCACTTAAAAATTAATCAAGACTCAGAGATGATGAAAATATATTCTGAGTATCCAACTCAGAAGGCAAAACTATAAGTAATTTGAAAGTAATCTGAAGGTTATACTGCTTACGGAA